GGCAGACAGGAAGCAGAGAAGCAATTTTGAGCATTAATATTCATTTTAATCAGGGACTAGAAAGAGACTAGTCCGTATAGACGAGCTTTAGCTGCTGGTATAACGTACAATTTGTGTTTTAGAGGCCTTGATTGAATAATTGATCATTGATCATTAACGTGACACTGATTAAAGGCTAAGGAATCCTCTGTGCGTTTATCAAGATGGTTGCCATGCCTACAGCAGCACACGGCCGGCGGTGTGAGGCGGAGAATCGACTCCGAGGTGCGTGTGTGGCCCTGCCCAGGTGCAGCTGAACAGATTGCGGTCAGCGTTGGGCTTTGTGTGTCTGCTGAACCACAGCGACAAGGAAGCAGGAACAGCGAAAAGGTGGGGGGGAACCATGAAAGGTGGAGATTCATGGGGTTTATCGGAGATAAAAACAACACGCTAAGGCGGACAGCAAAATACTGTATGTTAGCAGGACAAAAACACACCAGGAGTCAAATGTTGGAATATGTGCAACATCCGTTGACTCACGATTAGCAATAAACACAGAAACATTTTAAACACTTTAATTCTACAGTTTTACCCAAAACTGATACAGAAATTCCATTTAAGATGAACGTACAAAAAAAAAATACAAACGCAACACTTCTGTTTCTGCTCCCATTCTTCGATGATCGTCTCTGTAAACACAAAAAGGCCTTTTCCTCTCAAATATTGTTCAAAGATCTGTTAGTGAGCGCTTCTTGAGATGATCCATCCACATCGCAGGCGTGGCAGATCAAGATGCTGACTAGACAGCATGATTATTGCACATCTGTGTCTTAGGCTGACCACAATAAAAGGCCACTCTAAAATGTGCAGTTTTATCACACAGCATAATGACACAGATGTTGCCAGTATTGAGGGAGTGTCCAGTTGGCTGCTGACTGCAGGAAAGTCCATGTTCAGAGAATTTGGCAATACATCCAACTAGGGCTGGGCGATATGGCCTAAAACTAATATCACAATATATTAAACAGTTCACCTCGATAAAGATAAATGGACGATAACTGCAACCCCCGAAAATAATGTAATAGGCCGGCATAAATAATTCACAGCCAGTTATATTGATGGCATAATTCCCTTTTTATTGCCACTTTAATGAACTTTAAAACTAGAGCTTCTGCAAATAAATGAAGAAAATGTACACTTTTAGTTGTTAATAGTTTTGGAACAAATAAGCACAACTGAACAAATATAGAAGAATAAAATAACTTTCCTGCAAAGACAAAGTATAAAAAATACAATCTCTTATAAATGAAATGGTCACATTTGAGTTGTCATGTATTCCCTTGTAAATAAAACTAAATAATGAAAAATAAATTTCACATTTGCCATTTGGAAAGGTAAACAATGAGTTGTGCCAATATGATGTCATGTGCAAAGGCCTACCTCTCTGTAAAGATCTCTTAATAACAGTTAAAGGCTAACGCATTATTGTTTTTAAATTAGCTGCTCCTCTTCCTCCTGGACCAGCTCTGCCGCTGCTGCTGCCACTTCAACATTTGAAATTTCCTCCAGTTTCTCAACCGCACCGACTCTTTCACTTCTTGTTACAGACGGGATGGGGCGGAGTCACGTGACTACAGACTGCACGTAGCGCAGCGTCTTAAAGGGACATGAGCATAGCTTACCTATGCAAATTCAAAATCAATTCAAATTCATATATACTTTATTAATCCCAAAGGGAAATTAATTGCTGTTGTAGCTCATCTTGGTTTCATTAGAGTTGTTCTAGATGCTGATGTCTTTGGGCAGGAAGGATCTCTTGTAGCAGTCCACAGCGGATCCGAAGAAACTGGCTACAGATGTCAATCTGTCCACCCAGACCCAGCAGACCTTTCGGTCCTCTTGGGCAAAAGGACTGCCTGAATGTCGGGCAGAACTTCTCCCTGAGCGATGGCCATTTCTCCCAGCAGCCTGCCAAGCCCCTTATTGCCACAGACTTAACTGCAGGTGCAGGGAGATGATCATGGTCCTCCCGCTGTCACAATCTGCATTTCCCGCTACCTCCAAGATCTCTGCAGTCAGGAACTCAAGCACTGCCTCCTGGTAGATGGGAATGCATCCACAGCACCTCCTTTTCAACTCATTTGGGATTTAGGACTGTAGTTGAGATTTGAGCTTTTGAGATGTTAATCAGCTGCTCCCAGTTGTAGAAAACCACCCTGTTGTCATGGTTACGCATCATAACAAATGTCCAAAAGTAAAAAAGGTTTCAGTAAAAATCCTGCCAGCAGCACAGCATCTGATACCAGAGGAAGTAATCATCCGAAAAAAGCGATTTGCATTCAGAAAAAAAGAGTAAAGTTTTCAAAAGCAAAATCTCAGAATGGATGTGAGAGCTACTCCAACATGCAGCCACTTTGAGTGGCGCAATTCAACAAAACAGCCAAAAGACAAAACAACTTTTATTTTTTTAAAACAACAAAAATACCGACATGGGCAAAATGACGTCGATCGTTGTTATAAATTTCGGTGTCTGTAAGTTTTCAGTATATTGCCCAGCCCTACATCCAACTGGCTTCACAACCACAGACCACGTACCACACCAGCCCCTGTGTTGGTTGTCCATAACATAAACCTGCTCATACCATAACCCCACTGCCACCATGGGCCACTCGATTCACAACGGTGACATCGGCAAACCGCTCGCCCACACAACGCCATACACGCCATCAGCCTTGTACTGTGAAAACTGGGATTCATCTGTGATGAGAACACCTCTCCAACGTGACATACACCACTGAATATGAGCATGTACACACTCACGTCGGTTACAACAATGACCTGCAGTCAGGTGGAGACCCTGATGAGGCTGAGGAGCTTCCCTGAGAGGGTTTTTGATGGTTTGTGCAGAAATTCTTTGGTCATCTAAACTGATTGTTGCAGCAGCTCTCCGGGAGGCTGGGCACAGACGTCTTGGAGGTGAATATGCTGGATGTGATCGTGGACCGGTGTGATGGTGAGGCTGGTTGGATGTACTACCGAATTGTTTGAAACACCTTTGGAGGCAACTTATGGCGGAGAAACGAACATTCAATTCATGAGCAACAGCTCTGGAGCTCTGGTGGACATTCCTGCAGTCAGCATGCCGACTGCACAATCTACCAGAACTTACAAGATCTGTGTCATTGTGCTTTGTGATAAAAGTGCACGTTTTAGCGTGGCCTCTTATTGTGGTCAGCCCAAGGCGCACCTGTGCAATAATCAGCGTCGTGACATGCCACACCTGTGAGGTGTATGGATTATCTCGGCAAAGAAGTGCTCACTAACAGATTTACACAGATTTAGAAACATTTGAGAAAAAACTGGTATTTTGTGTTTATAGAAAAACTCTTAGATCTTTGAGTTCATATCATGAAGAACGGGAGCAAAAACAGAAGTGTTGTGTTTATATTTTTGTCCACCATAATTCAGCGCTAAGCTGTTAGAGATGAGAGACACGATACTGTCGCCAAAGGCTGCATCTCCTCCAGACTTCTCCCAAGACAAGACCGCAGTTACTCCAACCCCCCCTCAGTGCAGAGGAGATGTTTACCCACCTCGTCGCAGTAAAGGTAAGTGGGTGGAATCGTGCGGTGGGATGAAGATGGAGCAACATGATGTGTGTGGACGTGACCCTGAGCAGGATGACGGAGCGTGCGTGTGGAGTGCCGGCTTTTATGGACAGTTAATCCACACACGGAGTGCTGACTCACCGAGAGCGGAAAATGAAAGTCAGTGATTCCTGAAAGGCTTTTCTAAACGTTTTTCTTCCGAGGTGAAGTAAATTCTGCCAAAGGAGGCAGGCGGTGACTCGTCGACGAGTCAAACATGGCAGCGCCTTCACTGTTTATACAAACGGCTGTAGTTTTTTTCGCGTGTTCGTAAAATGTGTAATTTATTAACCTGTAAATTCAGTTCTGTCCACGTGGGAGCAGCACAAGAAGTCCGACGTACTTTCATCTATCCGCTGTCTAAAAGTATCTCACGTCCACTACTCTGGATAAGTTTTAAACTGATACATGACTCCTCACAGTTTGACTAAAACTTTTTCTACACAAGCAGAACTAATTACAGCATCAAATAAACTAATATCATCCGCTGTCGTTCATAAAAAAAAATGCCCGAGTTTAGGTGTTGGAGCCATTTTTGGGGATCTCCTGCTTAAACTATGTGTTGTGAAGGAATCTCAGTTACTGTATTTTCCGCCGTACACGTTGCACCGCCGTATAAGTCAAAAACATAAATACGTCAATTCACCGTATAAGTCACATCTATTATGAGTCACCGCTGACAACCTGGAAACGTTGGCCGGTGTTGTGCCAAGAATCGATTGGCTGCCAAAGGGCGGCCGTGGGAGTGTGCACGGGAGGACTTTAACTCTTAAAAACAATTATTTGTTTGCTCGACATTATAGTAAAGGTGTGTCTCAGATGAACTTTTCCTTAATAAATGCACTTTAATGATCAAATCAGCTGCATTTCGGCTGGGCAGCGCAGTGAAATGCAGCTGATTTGACGTTTGCTCCAGGAATTCCAGAGCGAGACGAAAGTGGCTTAGTATGGCAAGTCAAGTGTCTCATTAATAGCCACTTTTATCTATTAATGAGGCACTTGGCTTGCCATAGTCGAGGGCCCTCTAGTGGCTGAAAATGGTAGTGTTCAATATTTTCCATGTTAGAATGAACAAAATCATCAGATCTCAGCCAAATATTGGAATATAAATATGGGAAAAACATAAATACTTCACTTTGCTGTATAAGTCGCAGGCATGCTAAGTCATGCAAAAAACTGTGACTTATATGCCGGAAAATACAGTATTTCCACAACAAATTGTATCTCAATATCTGTAAAATTACCTGAATTACAGTAATTTTTATGCTAAAGTTTAGCTGCAGTGGCCATTTTTCCATTTTTCCAATGTTGACGGGGGCGAGGGCGGGCCCTGGAGGCCATCTTAGCAACAGCAAACTGGTTTTTTTTTCCACTCTGGGAGTGAGCTGTTTGTGGGATTCAGTTTGGTTTGGTGGGCTCTTTGGTCTGAAGAAGTCCTTTGGATGAAGGACAAAACGTCTCAGCAACAAAAGAAACCATGCAGATGACCTGACTGAACATTGGTGGATTTATACCTGGCTTAATGAGCATGAACTTTGGTATTTGGTACTATAACGATAATTAAGGCGCCAGCATTTCACTTTATTCTTAGCTTCCCACAGATCAGCTGTTTTTCTCATTAATCGGGTTAAAAAAAATAAAAAATCCAAACTGATTTGGTTCTAAGAGCCATCTACAACAGGTAAGATACTAACCGTTCACAGGAGCCCACTTCACAGTTTCTAAATGCTCCCTGTCAGCTTTTTATTTGATTTTTTTAATGTTTTTGGCAGCTATTTCACGGGTTAACCTCAAATGTAGATGATGATTCTCAGCAGGATCATAATTAAGAGCAACACAGGAAATGACTCACGGTCACTTCTTTCATTTATGTTTCTACCTTTTCTGAATAATTTCAAGTGAAATCCAAAACGCTGCATGAACCACGAAGACGAGCGCGTCGTCTGCGTCCGGGTGCGCGTGGAAGGAGAGCGAAGGGTTGAGCCTTGCAGCGGTAAAACAGGTAGCGGCACCGTTGCTGCTGCTGATGCAGTCTGGACGCATTTAGACGAGGTTATATAACACATTACGCTGCGGAGCTGGCGTGCAGCGCCGCTGCTATTTATAGACACGATTTGATGGAGAGAAAAAGATCCGTGACACACAGACACAAAAACATCAACCTGGGCGTTTTGTTGTTTGTATTCAGGCGAAAATTGTAGGACGCGAGAGAAACACGTTTAAAATACATCGTGTCTCATTATTTCTGCGCTCTCCTTTACAGAGGGGCGATAAAAAGCTGAAATAAAAGCTGTAATTGCAGCTACCATATGGCCGAAGAGGCTCTACAAGCTGAACAGATTATGATCGATGTGTCCTCAATCTGCCTGCGTTGGGCGAGTCGCTCCTTCAGTTTGCAGATAGGCAGACTACCTACAGCTCCACACCGGGGCCACTGTTCTTTTGTTCATTTAAATGCCTCGGAGTCCAGACGTGGAAACCATTACGGGGAGCGATGTGGCGTGACGGCTTTCTGATCGGCTGGAAAAAGAAGTGAGGACGGAGGTGTTGGAGGCATTACCTCTCATTTTCCCGAGGCACTCCGAACCGACTGATTACTTTGTTTAAGAGCCTGTCGGCAGCTGCAGTTTGGAAATTTAAAACATTAACAGGCAGTGCCCGCAGGTTTCATGGTTCCTGCTGAAGTCTAACTGGCAGATATCCATCAGTCAGATTGGACATAAATCCCACGGCTGTCCTCTCGATGGCTGTAATTGTGATGTACGCACATACTTTTCATTAGGGGCTCATGGGTAATAGAAGCTGCGTTGGTCAAATCAATTGACAGATGATGAGCTTTAGTTAAATGTTGAGATTTCTGTGTTTCCAGCACCAACACTGATTTAAACCCAAAGAGTGATGTTATTTAGCAATTTTAGTGGCTACCTATAGGTATACATGAGGTGTGGAGACAGAGACATGGACAAAAAGACAGGAGACAGAACTGGAAGTGGCAGAAATGAAGACGTTGAGGTTCTTCTTAGGAGAGACAAGGATGGAGAAGATCAGGAATGAGATCATCAGAG